CCCCAAAACCCCAAAACCCCAAAACCCCGAGGTAGAGAAAATAGGTTGAATATATTGCGACATTGTTGGAGCCTGGGGTTTGGAAATTAGAAGGGAGCTATCTTTTGATTAGAGTCAAATCCATCTTTTTAGCTTTCTCAAGGTCTAGCCCATGATTCTTTACCTCGTCGAATGTATCACATAGTTCTTGGAATTGTTTTTCAGTGTATTTCTTGAAGAAGTCTTTGATAGCTGTTGCTCGAAGAATATTGTGAAGGAAATTTAAGCACTTAGTATCATGATCCTTGCTCCATCTATTGTCGATCTCATGGATTTCAAGCAGATACATTGGGCATCTTTTAGGATTCTTGTCCCAATCCTCATTGTGCTGATAAATATTCCCTTTAGGATCCTCTTTATCACAATCCTTCTCATCAAGCCCACAAAAATAACACCAAGATGTACCACAATTAGAGCATTTCATATGAGTACAGTCTGGGCTCTTAACTCCTTTTGCATGGCATCCAGGACATTCTCTTGCTATTCCTTTAGAAATTACTTCGTCCCAATCATCTTTCATAGTTTTGTACTTTAAACAGTTGTGATGTTTAAGCATCCCATCTTTCTTCATTTTATTTTCTTCTTCTTTAGTGAACTCGTTTTTGTTTGGGATCTATATTTGATTTGTCTATTTCACCAACAAAGAATTATGACTGTATTATAGAAGAGGAAACATCATCATATTATAATTTTTGATGCTAAATCTAATTGATTCAGCAATCTATGAATGGCACAGACCTATTCAGAGTTGAAGAGTTCTAGGTGGCAGAAAATAATTACTTCATGAAACAAGGAGCTAACCCATCCTTCAACTTATTCAAATTTAATTTTCTTCTTATTTTATGGATTGATTATATTTTGTTAGCCACTGTTCCAATAAATAATCTAGCAGATTTTCTTGCTCCCAAAACATTCAACCTAATTGTCATTAATTTTACTATTTCTTTGTCTTTGATAAATTTCAGGTTAAAATTGGTAGTTTCTTTAAGAAGGGTTTCTAAGCTACAACTATCTCTCCATCAAAAATGTAAGGAATCTTTCATGGGATATCCCTCATTTCAAGAAGTAAGCTACCAAATGACTAAAATGGCCTAATAAAGTTATCCATAATCAGCTTTGAGAAAATCTAATATTTTAATCAGAATGCTTGCCCATATAAAGAAGGGGCTTAATTATGCTTAGCCGAAGGACTAAAAAGAATTAGATATTCATCCCTTCTTTCTTGCTAGTTGAGTCAACATAGACAGAAACTAGAGAAGTGTAAAATAGAATTTTATAGAATTTCCAGGAATATCAACATCTCTAATATTCATCAAATTCGACATTTTATCAAATAGCTATAAAAAGGCTAAATGGAGTAGAATCCGGATATACTAAAGACATCCTAAGCTTGGAGTTTGTTACCTTAAATTCCTGGCTTCAAATTGTACAGCTTCCTTTATTTTCATTTCTCATTTGGGCAGTAGAACAAATTAGTGCTTGAATCTTTATCCCAAACTACCATCTCGTTTCAAAAGGGACAATTGAGTATTTGAAACTTATCTTTACCAAATCCCATGACAGTTTGGTGCAGTATAAGTTTCTGCTTTTGAATGTCTGTCATTAGGGAAATAATCGTATCAAAATTGAACTCTTCCTGACACTTGTAGCATTTGTAGGGAAGTCACTCTTCAGGATTAGCAAGACCATTTTGAATACAAGCAACAGTACAGTCTGGACAGAAGTAATGCCCAGATGGACATTTCATCCCTTTCTCTTCTTCTGGTAAATCTAGCATGCAATATATGCAAGTCAGCTCATTGTCTGAAACTGAAGTTTCAGTTGTGCTCTCCATTAATATAGAATATTAAATTATCAATTTAATCTCATATATCGGGGTTTTGGGGTTTTGGGGTTTTGGGGTTTTGGGG